AGATGGCTTTATATAACTGTATTTTTGCTTTAGTGTTCAGTTCCTTCTTGCCTACAAGGTTGTTGTTTATTTGTTAGTAGACTGCACTTGCTTTTGCCATTCTGTTGCGTATTTCCTGATCTATCTTTCCATCCTTTCTTATTATGGATCCAAGATATTCGTACCTTTCTACCACCTCCAGTCGTTGCCCCTCTATTCTTACGTCAATATCTCCCGTTTCTTCTTCTTTTGAGACGTGTAGGATCTTACTTTTGTTCTTGTTTATTACCATTCCTCTTTCCATATACAGGGTGTTTCACTTAAAACTCCCAGGTTAAATATCTCTGGAAGGGGTTGAGATATCTTAGTTTTGTAAGAAGTTGTTGTTAGAATACGTCCCTCCATGCCTGCTTCTTCTGTATTATCTTATCCTTGACCGTGGCATTCCACATTTATTATCTTTCGATTTCAGCCAGTTTTGATAACTTTAGTTCTGCATACTCTGGCAGCTAGATAGCTAGTAGAGAATCAAGTCGGATTTCAATCGGAGTGATTTTGTCGTTGTGATTGCTGGTACTAACGATGTTCTAGGAAGGAAGCCAATGATTAGTGGGACTCTGGTGAAAATAAAAAAACTGTCAATGCGGTGAAATGTCCTCTGCTTATCGGTGCCTTATTGGTATGAAGCGACACAGCTGACACATATGGCTTAACAAACAATATAATAAAGTCAGTAATAAAAACAGTGTGAGGTCAATCTTAATATTACGCTCAATAAATGTGTCAACGATGGAATTTTTCGTTCAGAGTTCAACACAGCGAGAGACAGCCATTACATAAGAAGGGTAATAAAAACGACTATAACAATTATTATAGACCTATATCAATTTTGCCCGTTATCTCTAAGATATTTGAAAGATTAATAACAAGAAGGTTGGTGGAATGCTTTAAAACTAATAAATATTTAGCGACCACTCAGCACGGGTACTAATCAGGCAGATCGGTAATGACGGCTGTTTCTGAAGTAATTGCCTTTATAACGAAAGCACACGATGAGCAAAATGTGGTTCAGATCGACCTGCTGGACCTTAACCTTACCCTGAGTAAACTTCAGTTTTATGATATTAGAGGTCTACAACTAAATTTAATAAGATCTTATTTGATGGACAGACAATATGTTGAGTATAATGGTAATAGACCGTCTAGTGTAAAAATCAAACATGGTGTTCCTGTTGGAAATTATTCACGAGCACACCCTATATAATCTCAACGCGTGAAGATAAATCCATAATATTTGCAGAGCACAAAGGTTTACTGTAGACGAGTTTATTCAGGGAGTTTCGAGTTGTTCCGTCGAGGCATTGTTGACTGAGCCGCCCTTCCAAGTGGAACATTCCGTCGCTATGGAGACCGAAGTGGATGGAAACTACCGGTCGTTTTTAGTGTGGTGTGAGGGACCACATTGTTATCGTACTCTGTGCGCAATGGATGAGCGATCGCGTTACTTAAGCAAGTTTGAGCGAGGAATGTTTGTGGGTATTTGAGGGTGTATCGTTCTGTGAAATTGCGCGTCGTCTCGAGCGGTCGTTATCGGCAGTGCAACGGGCATGGTGAGAATGGTCTGAGGTAGGACATAGGTACCTTCAGCCGCGGTCGGGACGGCCTTGCGCGTCCCCAGCACACGAGGATCGAACTCTTGTGCTCAGCGCTTTAGCCTCGTGTGTGTCCTCCTCAAGGCAACTTGGAGCTGTTTGGCCACCGGCAGGGGAAGGCGCACTCACTACGCGAACTGTACGGCAGCGTTTGGTAGATAGTGGACTGCGCGCGCGTCGTGCGATACAGCGGATTCCAGTAACACCCGAGCACCGCAACATACGTCACGAGTGGGTCGACGCTAGGCATTAGTAGGTTGCCGAATAGAGGGACATTTTGTTTTCCGAGGAATCAAGATTCGAATTGAGCACCGGTGATGCGCGAATTTTAGTTCCTCGGAGCCGTGATTCCTCGCCCTATCCAGCGACAACCTAGCATTATGGTATGGGGTGCGATTACATATGGTGGACGTACACGTCTGCTGCGTGTATAGCAGACCATGACGGGTCAACGATACGTAGATGAGGTGCTACGGTACGTTGTGCTTCCCTACGTTCGGCGGGTCCCATGTCTGCTATACATGCATGACAACGCACGACAGCACATCGGGCGTGTTGTACAGACCTTTGTGGAAGAGCACCGTATACGAATGCTTCCATGGCTAGCTCGGTTTCCGCATTTGAATCCGATCGAACATGTTTGGGACATGACTGGTCGGAGACTTCTACGTTATCCGGCTTCCTCGGCTAACGTTGAGGAGCTATGGAGGCGAGATGAGGTGGCATGGTTGGCCATCCCTCTCGCTACAATATAGCGACTTATAGACTCCATGCCACGTCGTAGCGTCGTAGCGATGGTACGCGAAGCTTACGGGGGATATTCTTGCTATTGATGTTTCTCCTCCCAGCAGAGTTGTGCCGTTCTCCATGTGAGAGTAAGTTATACTACTTTAGTACTACTTCCATACCAAATTTTATTGCGGTAGACACACACGTTCAGATTATACAGGGTGAATTATTTCCAACAGTGTATATTAATGATCTGCCTTGCAAGATTATTGGAGAGACATATTTATATGCTGATGATACATCCATCGTATTAAAGGACGTATTATTGTCCACTCAAGAATGGTTCAGTAATAATCTGCTCAAACTGAACAGTGAAAAAACAGAACATATAGTGTTGGAGACCACTTAACGTGGGAGAGAATCTGCAACTGTAAAATTTCTGGGTACGCATCTAGACAGCGGAATGACGTGGGAAGTGCATTTGAAGCATCTGAGGACTAAGCTGACTTCTGCTATCTTTACAATACGAAGACTAAAACAAGTAGCCACTCACCAGGCAGCCAGGTTGTCATACTTTGCATCTTTTCACTCGGTGGCGTCGTATGGTGTTCTTTTCTGGGGTGGGGCATCTGATTTTTTGAGGATCTTCCGACTACAAAAGAGGTCGTTACGGGTGCTGTGTGAGCTGCGAACAGACGAAAGTTGTAAGAACTATTTTAAATATGAAAATATACTTACCTTACCAAGCATATATATACTTACGGCATTGCTGCATGTTCATGATAACAGAGACAGTTTTCCCTCCAATGGTGGTACCCATAGCTATCTGACAAGATCACGACACCAATACCACAGAGTTGCATCAACGCAAAAGTATGTGGATTATTGCCCAGTTCTGCTCCTCTTATTACCTTCACATCATGTATTGCATATATCAACTCATCACATGGATCTAAAGTAAGTTATATAGTCTACTATGCTCTTCTGTCATCTTTCTTCCGCTTTGTATGTTATTTTATGAATACTATAATTTAATTATAATTATTAAAAAGTTTATTGAATGATGAAAACAGACGACATCAAAAACTAACTTGATCCATTTCAAAGAAAAAATTGAAAGAAATCCTTCCACGAAAGGAGTGAGAAAATTAAATTCTTTACATCTCAAGAAACCCGTTTTAGTTAAAGGGGGTGACATTTTTCAGTTTACACCGGATTTTCCAGGTGTAAAGCCATCCCTTTGAACTGCGAACGACAAATAACTTTAATAACTTTTCCAGGAAAATCGGATTCGAGTTGTTTTCCGTCTAACTATTATTTTTTTTGCGAATTTTTTTGTTGTTGAAAAAATAAATTTAATACATCACAACGATAAAAATAGACGAAAATCCCGTCGTGAAATTCAACTCCCGGGGCGTATCGAAAAGGAGAACTACGATCCTGGGAGAATTTCGAAGTGTTCGTGTATGTACAAGTTCGGTCCCGTTGGGGTTGGATGTGAAACTTGTTCGTTTTTCTCTCCCCCAAACAGAACGGTTTTCGCCACGATCCCAAAGCGTACTCAGTTCGTCTCTGACGAAATAGAGTATTAACCCGAACCCTATTCAAGAACAAACAGAAAGAAACCGAATCAAAAGGAAAATGTTAAAACAATAATAAAATGAAAAATGTGTGTGAAATTAAATGTTGATTACGTTTTCCCAGAAAAATACAATTCAATTATGTTGGGAATGGTAATTTATACAGGCTTCGTTATAAATGGAAACAACTCGTTTGGAAACAAAGCGTAGAAGTTCTTGTTTATGTTTTTGCCCTTTGTTCTGAAAATTATATTTGACTTTTAAATCTCTCAATTTTGTGCAGTTTGATTTTTCTAAATTATGTTCCTTTTATGTCAAAAAAGTTATAATCAAAAAAAAAATCCAGCTGTTGTTGTTTGTAATTCACCTGGATCTAGTTTTTTTTTTTAATTTTTTTTTTGAAATGCGCATCGAGTACCACAACTGTGAGTGACATTTAATTGCAAACTTGGAAATTGAAACTGCAACTCGGTTTCCATCCAATATCCTCTATTGTTTTATCGTATTTTTCCATTCTCCTCCCATTTTAAATTCTCGTTAAGTTTAACTCCATCCGTTTTATCTATTTTTTTCTTTCAAAACCAGAATAACCCATAAAAATCTTAAAAGGAGTCGTAAAACTTTTTAAGACCACCTCCAAGATAAAACTAATCGATTTTTAATAAATTTTAAAGCGCGATAACTTCCTCCGCCGTAAAATAAAATTTAAACGAGCATGAAAATTCAAGAAAAAATTTTAATATAACAAAAACGTTTCCGTTTTGTGAATGTATGTAGTTATAGTTCCCCTTCGAATAACTTTAGTAATGGTGAAATTGCCGCAACACCTGCATCTCTTCCTTGTAATACTCCCCGAGAAATATGACCCTAATATTTTATACCGGGAAAAACCGGATCTCTGGGTATCCAACCCAATTTATCTTTATGCGGAATATTCTTATTCGTTACATTGATAAAAATATTTCATTTGCTATATGCGGTTGATAAATTGAATTAAAATTAATCTACTTACTGTATTATCCTGACTTTATTAATTTTACTTAAATTGACGCCTTAAAAAAGTGAGGTTATATTGAGAAGTGAGGAGTCGATGAAAACTGAATTAATTTCCGCGTGGACCACATAATCACTTTTAATACATAGTTTGAGTGTTTTAAAACGTATTTTGATCGCTTTTTCAGTACAATTAAGTTCATTTTCACGTAGAATTGAAATTCTTCGGCCGAAATGTCAATCACTACATCTTAAATTTAATGTCAAAAATACGACTAAATTTGACTTAATATTGTCACAGCTAGATGGAGTGAGTGTGTAAGTTTTTATACCGGGAAACCCGGATTTTTGGATATCTAACCCAATTTGCCTTTATGCAGAATATTTTTATTCGTTACATTGCTAAAAATATTTCATTTTTATAAAATTAATACCCAATAAATGTATTTTAACTCACCTCCTTCTAATTTTATGAACGCAGCCCAAACGGTTGACACTTTATCATAACCTCAAAAAATCCAGGAATAAATCTAAAATTAAAATTTTATTAAATCTTGTAAATTTGTTATATGTGGTTGATAAAACGAATTAAAATTAATCTACTTAGGCCCACTTTTACCACCCTCCTGATAAACTATCTAGAGGATAGTTGGCATGGTTACGGCGGTTTTAAGCGCTCTCATTGGCTAAGAACTGGATTTATCTATCGGATAAATTTATCAGGTGGTGGTAAAAGTGGGCCTTACTGTATTAATCCCTTAAAGTTTGAAATTGACGCCTTAAAAAAGTGGGGTTATCTTGAGAAGTGAGGAGTCGATGAAAACTGAATTAATTAACCTAAGAAATCTGCGTCGATCACATAATCACTTTTAACACATAGTTTGAGTGTTCTAAAACGTATTTTGATCGATTTTTCTGTTCTTTTTACGTAAAATTGAAGTTATTCGAACGAAATGCAATCATTAGATTTTAAATGTCAAAAATACGACTAAATTTGACTTAATATTGTCACAGCTAAAATCGCTAGATGGAGTGAGTGTGTTCCAAGTTTTTAAACCGGGAAAACCGAATCTCTGGATATCTAACCCAATTTGTCTTTATGCAGAATATTTTTATTCGTTACATTGCTAAAAATATTTCATTTTTATAAAACTAATACCCAATAAATGTATTTTAACTCACCTCTTAATTTTATGAACGCAGCCCAAACGGTTGACACTTTATCATAACCTCAAAAAATCCAGGAATAAATCTAAAATTAAAATTTTATTAAATCTTGAAAATTTGTTTTATGTGGTTGATAAAATGAAATTAAAATTAATCTACTTACCGTATCATCCCGATTTTATTAATCCCTTAAAATTTGAAATTGACGCCTTAAAAAAGTGGGGTTATCTTGAGAAGTGAGGAATCGATGAAAACTGAATTAATTAACCTAAGAAATCTGTGTGGACCACATAATCACTTTTAACACATAGTTTGAGTGTTCTAAAACGTATTTTGATCGATTTTTTAGTACAATTAAGTTTCTTTTCAAATAAAATTGAAGTTATTCGGACGAAATGTCAATCACCACATCTTAAATGTCAAAAATACAACTTAATTTAACTTAATATGTCACCTCTAGATGGAGTGAGCGTATTCCAAGTTTTTATACCGGGAAAACCGGATCTCTGGATATCTAACCCAATTTGCCTTTATGCAGAATATTTTTATTCGTTACATTGCTAAAAATAATTCATTTTTATAAAATTTATACCCAATAAATATATTTTAACTCACCTCCTTTTAATTTTATGAACGCAGCCCAAACGGTTGACAGTTTATCATAACCTCAAAAATTATTAAATCTTATAAATTTGTTATATGTGGTTGATAAAACGAATTAAAATTAATCTACTTACTGTATCATCCCGATTTTATTAATCCCTTAAAGGTTAAAATTGACGCCTTAAAAAAGTGGGGTTATCTTGAGAAGTGAGGAGTCTTTTCATCGACTCCTCACTTCTCTGAATTAATTAACCTAAGAAATCTGCGTGGACCACATAATCACTTTTAACACATAGTTTGAGTGTTTTAAAACGTATTTTGATCGATTTTTGTGTTCTTTTCACGTAAAATTGAAGTTATTCGGAAGAAATGCAATCGCAAGATTTTAAATGTCAAAAATACTACTTAATTTAACTTAATATTGTCACCGCTAGATGGACCGAGTGTATTCCAAGTTCTTTGAGAAAAAAATAAAATTCGTGAAACTTATAAATACTTCAAATAAATGGTTTGCGTGATCTAAACGGACTTTGATTATATTTTGATTCATTACCATTTTAATTTTATAATTGTACGAAAAGCAACCAATATTTTGAACTGTCAAAAAAATAATTTAAGTTGAATGACGCTAGATGTGGCGATAAATTTTAATGTAATTTAATTAAAAAATGACTTTTTTAAGATTTAAAATTAATATTAATAGATATCAATAATAAAGAAGTTAAAATTTGAGTAAAATCAATTTCAATTGATTGAAAATCAATTTTTAAAATAAAATGTTAAAAAAAAAATTTGATTAGACAACCCAAATAGCACAGTCGTTAATTGTATTGCATCTAATTATATTAATTTACAGTGGTGGGCAAAAGTTTATGTATAGCATTGAATTGTATAACGTAATAACAGAAATTAGTATTACACAGTGTGATTAGTGATTAGAGATACTTACTTAATCAGAAAATTTGTTGGCTTCCACATAGAATAATCAGTATTTAATTTAGTTTTATTATTAGGAATTCTATTGGTTCACCATTTCTTTTCCATTTTTCTGCAATTTTGTCTCCAATGAATTTAAGATATGTGGTTAATTTAGGTTTTGGTGTTAAAATAGGTGTTGAGGTCCAAGCTGAGTTTTGTATGTCTTCATAACTTTCCTACTTCCTTGTCAATGTCTTCATTAGTTTTCATTAGAACATTAAGATGAATTTTATTATCTAATATTTGTTGAAATAGATTCTAGTTAGTGACTTCTTTGTTATTTAGAGTAATAATTACTGGCGAGTGATGTGAGTCCAGCCCTAACTCTTCTTTTATGTTTACGAAGTTAAGCGATATATTCTTCGTAATAAAAAAATCAAGTCTGGAATTTTATTTCTCTGTTGGCCAATAAGTTAGCTTACCAGTCGAGAGCACTTCACAATTTAGGGCCTCTGTTGCATGTTTCAGTTCAGAAAACCCCAAGACGTATGGTTAAAGTCTCCTCCAAGTATAAATTTGTTTTCAAGATGCAGTAGAATTTCCTGATAAGATTCTCTTTTGAAATTATGTCTCGGCTGCATTAATGCCACAGATTGGCACTTAGCTTTATCCTATAAAACAAAAATGGTATTTTAGATCTTTCGGTATTCAGCATTTTTTCTAAGATTACTTAAAAACGATAAAATGTCGCTTAGTCAAGTGATGACCCATTTTATATTTGTTATTTTGTTTCAATTTAAACACCACCGTGTATTCAAATTGTATTAATCGCATTAATTAATTCACAATTGTAATGTCAACCCCATTAAACTCGGTGTCCTGAATACACAGATTACAGGTGGAATAATCAATTAGCCGTGCGTCTGCATAACAAACGGTTGACAGTTTAGTAAATAAACCGTATTCAGTTAGCAGAGCGTGGCATAGTTGAGTTTGAATGAAAATAGGTTGAAACCCGGTGAAAAGTAAATATTTTTATCACACGTTTCAGGGTTTATCCTGAATTGCCATATGCGAAGTGGAAGGGACAAGATTTAATTTTCACCCTTACAAAAAGGAAATTTCTCTTTCCCAACAAACTTTGCTTTACTACGAAACGCGTTCAGTAACTTTCGGATTTAACTTTAAATCCATTGAAAAGTCTTAGCGAAACTTAGTGGATACTTTATCGAGTTAAAAATAAATAATTATTATAACAAATACGATTTTACCCGCATTGATAGATTAACAACCCTCGTTATCGATAATTTTGTTTACACGCTCTCCCATTTCCAATATCATTACCCGCGGTTTCCACACAAAACCGAAACTAATAACCTTTCGTTGTGAAGGTAATTTCGGGTTACCGAGTTGGTTGTTTATTTTTATTATTACTCAATGTTGCTCGTTATTCTGCGTCGCCCTCTCGATGAGCCTTTTTGTGCTTTTAAGTAAATTGTTCTTGGGGGAAGAAAAGGAAAATGGGAAAAATTGTGAAAAAAGATCGCGTACTAATATAAAACACGTTCTTTATCTTTTTTGAACACCTTTTCGCCTTTAAAATTTCGTTTTACTACGAGAGTCGAGAGAATGGGAGACAATTTTCCGGTACATTTCACGCGAGATCCTTCGGGATAAATGTTACGTTCGGTGATAGAAATATTCTTCTTAATAAAAACCCAAGAAAATGTTATTTTTGATTTAAATACAGCATTGAATTCACACAATGTATAATACATACTAATTAGTTACTTTTTTTGAGATTACACAGCAGTCCAGTCTGCTTTACGTGTAGATAAATAAGTGAGTTTCATCTCCGAAACTCACTTTACACGAGAATCACCATTACAATATTTATCATACAATTCAACCTAGTAACGCGGCACGAGATGGAAGTGCAATTGGACGATGTTATGCATCACTTGACTAAGCGACAAATGAACAATGTTGAGAAAAACGCGATTTTCGTTTTTATCTCTCTAAAAATATAAGACTTATCTGTTTCTGTAAGTCGTGGCATAAATTTTTTAAGGACGAAGTGTTACAAGTTAGAAATATTAAGAAACTTGGGAAAAATTCAAAAATCATCATGTGGCTTAAAAATCAACGACTTTTTTTTAATCAATGTGAAAATGACCCAAAAAACACGTTAAAAATAAAAAGGAAGTGCTGAAAAGTGACTAAGACTAGATTAACTTCAGTTATAAAACTTCTATTATATGATAACTAAGTTCAGGTTTAACATGTCAACCTCAATTTTGACATATTTGTAATCTTCATTAAAAATCCTTTAAAATGAGTACAAACACGACATATTTATCTTCAATATTAATGAAGTTATGGTCAACTTCCGGTTAAGAATGTCAACGTCAATTTTGACATATTTGTAATCGTCGTGAAAAATCCTTTAAAATGAGTCCAAACATGATACGTTTAATTCCAATATTACTCGAGATATAAGCAACTTCTGGTTTGAAATGTCAATGTCATTTTGACATATTCTTAATTTTTATAAAATGTCTTAATATTTGTCACAAAAACAAAAATATAATAAAAAAAAATCAAAAATTAAGGTTGGTATTAATATTTAAAAATTAAATTGCTATCTTCATTGTTGCTAACTTCGGGTTTAATGTTTTTTATTCTAACTTTTTTGTTTTTTGAGATAAGTGCGTCATGTTTGGACTCATTTTAAAGGTTTTTTAATGAAGATGACAAATATGTCAAAATTGACGTTGACGTTTCAAACCGGAAGTGATTGTATTTCCATTAATATTAAAGTTAAATATGTCGAGTTTGGACTCATTTTAAAGGATTTTTTATGAAGTTGACAAATATGTCAAAATTAAAAGTTGAAAGTTCGAACTTTTTGGTTTTTTGAGATAAATGCGTCATGTTTGGACTCACTTTAAAGGTTATTTTATGAAGATTACGAATATAATAATAAAATTAAAGTTGACATTGACAACTGAAAGTTTTTTTCACGACTAAACACTAGATTAACGTCAATTATAAAACTTCTATTATATGATAACTAACTTCAGGTTTAAAATGTCAACCTCAATTTTGACATATTTGTAATCTTCATTAAAAATCCTTTAAAATGAGTACAAACACGACATATTTATCTTCAATATTAATGAAGTTATGGTCAACTTCCGGTTAAGAATGTCAACGTCAATTTTGACATATTTGTAATCGTCGTGAAAAATCCTTTAAAATGAGTCCAAACATGATACGTTTAATTCCAATATTACTCGAGATATAAGCAACTTCCGGTTTGAAATGTCAATGTCATTTTGACATATTCTTAATTTTTATAAAATGTCTTAATATTTGTCACAAAAACAAAAATATAATAAAAAAAAATCAAAAATTAAGGTTGGTATTAATATTTAAAAATTAAATTGCTATCTTCATTGTTGCTAACTTCGGGTTTAATGTTTTTTATTCTAACTTTTTTGTTTTTTGAGATAAGTGCGTCATCTTTGGACTCATTTTAAAGGTTTTTTAATGAAGATGACAAATATGTCAAAATTGACGTTGACGTTTCAAACCGGAAGTGATTGTATCTCCATTAATATCAAAGTGAAATATGTCGAGTTTGGACTTATTTTAAAGGATTTTTTATGAAGTTGACAAATAGGTTAAAATTAATTGTTGAAAGTTCGAACTTTTTGGTTTTTTGAGAGAAATGCGTCATGTTTGGACTCACTTTAAAGGTTATTTTATGAAAACTATGAATATAATAATAAAATTAAAGTTGGCATTGACAACTGAAAGTTTTTTTCTAGTTTTAGTTCAATAAAAATACAGCGTGTCCCGTATCTTCCGCATCACAGCATTATACGGTTGGAGAATACATTATTCTGAAGCGATCCAACCTTACCTTAATTTTTAATCTTTTTTTATTATATTTTTGTTTTTGTGACATACAGTGTGCTCCAAAAAGTCAACAACACCCGTTTTATTTTTGTTCCATTACATCAACGTTTCTGAAATTTAGCTTAAATGGGAGGATCATACCGGTCTTTCGATCTAAGATATTTTCAAGATGGTGGCCGCTTCCGGTCCACCGGAAGTAGACCTCAACTTCGTAATTTTAAATGGAATGCTATAGTTTTTATTGCACCTTTTAATTGTATGCGAAAAAATGTGTTGACTTTGATAAATGTTACTGGTACCTAGCATTTTTCGTTTTCGAGTTATTTTGATTTTAAGTTTTTGTTTGGTAAATTTCACCATGCTTTTAAAACCCCATATCTCAGCCAATATTCATTAAAGAAAGCTCTAACTTGGTGTGATTACTCTTCAGATGATATCAAAAATAGATTGTCATTTGTTGTATCAGAGTATCTTATACAGGGATGGTCAAAAATTGAATTATCGTTTCTCTATATTCAATGCCAAGAAAGCTGAGAATTTTAAATGGAACGCCCATATTTTTTTTACCAGAGAGAGAATTAAATTTTTTATCCAAACTGTATCTCAAACTCTATCTGTATAAGATACTGTGATACAGCAAATGACAATCTATTTGACAGCATTTGAAGAGTAATCGTGCCAATTTAGAGCTTTTTTGATTATTATAAATCGAATTGCAGCGCAAACCACTTTTCAACTATCTTCGTTAATATCACTCCTTCTCTTTTAATTCAGTCTTGTTACATAAATTTTATTTTAGTTTGTCATTTCATTTGTCGGTTGTAATGTGTTTATCTTGTTATTTTATCATGTAAGTTTATAATTGTATAATTCATTTTATATTTAAAGTTTCTCATTTTAATTTTTACTTTAAAAAATTTTAAGTTTTTAACTTATGTCTGAGCTTTTTTTCTTTTTTGTTCGTTTTGACAGTAAGTCTTTCATTTGTTTTAAGATAATTTCTTGTTATTTATTTATTTTAATATTGTAGATTCAGCTGATGATGGCTTATTAGCCGAAACCGGTTCTGATTATATTAAAATTTTTATCGAGAAAGAAGTTAATTTATTTAAATACCTATATTTTATATTTTGATATATTTGTTATCTTCATTAAAAAACCTTTAAAATGAGTCCAAAAATGACGCACTTATCTCAAAAAACAAAAAAGTTAGAATAAAAAACATTAAACCCGAAGTTAGCAACAATGAAGATAGCAATTTAATTTTTAAATATTAATACCAACCTTAATTTTTGATCTTTTTTATTATATTTTTTTGTGACAAATATTAAGACATTTTATAAAAATTAAGAATATGTCAAAATTGAGGTTGACATTTTAAACCTGAAGTTAGTTATCATATAATAGAAGTTTTATAACTGAAGTTAATCTAGTGTTACTCATTATCAGAACTTACTTTTTATTTTTAACATGATTTTTTGGGTCATTTTATTATTATATTCGTAATCTTCATGAAATAACCTTTAAAGTGATTCCAAACATGACGCATTTTTCTCAAAAAACCAAAAAGTTTCAAGTTTTAACTATTAATTTTGACATATTTGTCAACTTCATAAAAAATCAGTTAAAATGAGCCCAAACTCGGCATGTTTAACTTTGACATTAATGGAGATACAATCACTTCCGGTTTGAAACGTCAACGTCAATTTTGACATATTTGTCATCTTCATTAAAAAACCTTTAAAATGAGTCCAAACAAGACGCACTTATCTCAAAAAACAAAAAAATTAGAATAAAAAACATTAAACCCGAAGTTAGCAACAATGAAGATAGCAATTTAATTTTTAAATATTAATACCAACCTTAATTTTTGATCTTTTTTTATATATTTTTTTGTGACAAATATTAAGACATTTTATAAAAATTAAGAATATGTCAAAATGACATTGACATTTCAAACTGGAAGTTGCTTATACCTCGAGTAATATTGGAATTAAACGTATCATGTTTGGACTCATTTTAAAGGATTTTCCACGATTACAAATATGTCAAAATTGACGTTGACATTCTTAACCGGAAGTTGACCATAACTTCATTAATATTGAAGATAAATATGTCGTGTTTGTACTCATTTTAAAGGATTTTTAATGAAGATTACAAATATGTCAAAATTGAGGTTGACATTTTAAACCTGAAGTTAGTTATCATATAATAGACAAATGGACAACTTCATGGTGTTCTTTCATGATGTATTCTTTATTAAAAAACCTTTAAAATGAGTCCAAACAAGACGTACTTATCTCAAAAAACAAAAAAATTAGAATAAAAAGCATTAAACCCGAAGTTAGCAACAATGAAGATAGCAATTTAATTTTTAAATATTAATACCAACCTTAATTTTTTATTTTTTTCTATTATATTTTCGTTTTGACGTAAAAGCTCTGTGTTTTCTTTTAAATTATAGCAACTTTCTGTAATACGACAGTAACTATCAAAAATTATAAAAGTGCCATCTATCGGTAAAATATTAATTTAAAAATGATTAATGAAAATAATTACAAATAAGATTTTTCTTTTGCAAATTTAATATTTTTTTAATAATTAAGAAAATCTTAATTAATTTTTAAATTAAAGAATCAAAATTAGGACTTAAAATTAAGATTTTAATATCGTAGATTTTAACTTCACCTGTCACTAAGACAACTGATACGTGATGAGGTTATGTCTGGTTGTGTAATGTCAAAAGTGTCATAAAAAGGGTATTGAAGTAATTCAACATATAAAATGGACAACTTCATGGTGTTCTTTCATGATGTACTCTTTATTTAAAAAAACCTTTAAATTTTTGATCGATTACAAATGTTAAAATTGACGTTGACATTCTTAACCGGAAGTTGACCATAACTTCATTAATATTGAAGATAAATATGTCGTGTTTGTACTCATTTTAAAGGATTTTTAATGAAGATTACAAATATGTCAAAATTGAGGTTGACATTTTAAACCTGAAGTTAGTTATCATATAATAGAAGTTTTATAACTGAAGTTAATCTAGTGTTAATCACTTTTCAGCATTTTCTTTTTATTTCTAACGTGTTTTTTGGGTCATTTCACATTGATTAAAAAAAAATCGATGAAAAGGAAAATCCCGTTTTTCTCAACATTGTTCATTTGTCGCTTAGTTAAGTGATGCATAACGCGGTCCAAATAAAATTAATATTATTTTAGATGTGCTGAAAAATAACGAAAAAGAAAATGCTTCATCGAAGTACATCTTCCAGAAGACGTCGTGCTTCAAGAAGTACAGCTTCTTCTCCGAGTCAAATCAGAACGCCAAGATCAGCCGCAACGAGTCCTGGTAGAAGGGCGAGTATTGCAGTTTCCCCGGTGGATGGTACTCGAGGGTTTCTTCAACCTGATTTAAATCGTAGCCCTCGACACAGTATAATACCAGACATTTCCTTAGAAGATCGCGAATCTCCTTCGGATGAAAACAATTTTTTAGCACCCGATATCGCATTAAGTCCAAGAAATAGTTTGGTGCCGGATTCAAATCGCAGTCCGAGACATAGTTTGGTTCCTAACGATTACTCAAGATCGCCCAGAAATAGTTTAGTTCCGGATTCGGCTTTGAGCCCGAGAAATAGTTTGGTACCAAACGACAATTACAATAGGAGTCCTAGAAATAGTTTGGTTCCGAGTGATTTAAAATCACCCCGGAATTCTTTGGTTCCCGATTCAAATCGAAGCCCAAGACATTCTTTGGTACCGGACAACAACGTTTACGGTTCTAGAATAAGTCTTTCCCCCGATTTTAATCGCTCCCCGCGAAATTCTTTAGTACCCGATACTAATCGAAGTCCAAGACAAAGTTTAACACCGTCAGATTCGTGTATTTGGAACCAAAATGGGTTGAGTTCTCAAGAAGAAATAAGCAGGGGAGATTTACGAAGTCCCAGACTTAGTATGGCACCGATTAATGATGTGAGTAGATCACCACGGGGAAGTGTAGCGCCGGAATCTTTGAATATTCGAACGAGCCCAAGGGGGAGTATAGGAAGTGAGTATCATTCCGAAAGAAGTCCAAGAGGGAGTATAGGACCTGAAGGTAACAACCATAATCGGAGTCCTAGAGGAAGTTTGGCTAGAAATAATTTAGTTGCTGAAGAAATTGGGAAGAGTCCAAGAGGAAGTTTAACTTTAACGTTTCAAGAACCACCGGTTAGTGAAAGAAGATCAAGTGCTGATAATCCTTCAGGTAAATTTGTTTTATTAATAAATAAATAAATAAATAAATCGTGTAAATTTACGAACCTTTCTCGATCTCACCTCGTGATTTATATTTGTATTACAGGTTCTCGCATGGTCGGTGGAGGGAGAAGCACCTCGCCGTACAGAAGCTCCTCTCGAGGAGCAATAAACATGGGATATACGAGTAACCAGGGATTGTCGGAGGGGGGTAGTAGAAGAGCAAGCAGTTCGGTTAGCCAGGTACGGTTTCCTTTTTTATTATCAAATTACGTCCATTTCTTAACAAACTCTCTAAACAAAGGAAGTTGTTGTTATGTCCTCCATAGGTTTCCGGAGACGAACAAAAGAGGTTATGCGCCGAACAAAAATACGATGGAGAGCAAGGATTGGGATTGGGGATTTCATTGACGACTTATGGATCGGTTGCTTATCAACTTAAAGATGCTAATTTAGAAGCTAATGGTACCTGCGATTTTGTTATTAAAGCTATGAATATAGTCAACAAAACCAGTAGGTTTAAATCAATTTTTTTTGTAAATGATGTAGTAGTAAGTTCTTTTTGTACATTTTAGTTGTGGTTACCATCGTTTTAATTTGTTTATCAACTCTTCCTCTTCTCATGTTGATTATGGGTAAGTATTATATTTCTCATATCATTATAGTAAAGTTATCCTCGTAATTGTTAGTCGGGAGTTTTTATTCCTTAATAAAATTGTAAGGCGCAATGATACGCAACGTTTTTATAAGTTAATATATCCATTGTGGGCAAGGTTCTTGGTTCATTGAGACTAATATCTTGTTGGTGGCATATCTAAGCCACAAAGTGAGGTTTTGACAAATATTCCTAATTAAAGATGTACTGCTTTCAGAAGATTGGGTACTGATAACAAAAAACTAGATGCTGTTGGTAGAGTGTTAGATGCACTAATGGATAATTAGGTTCTGGTGGAAAAGATTACATACTACTGGCAGAAGACTAAGTACTGTCAGAGATTTAGATGCTGTTAAGAGAAAATTAGGTGTTGCTAATACAAGAATAGATATTGCTAATTCAAGACTAGATAATGTTTGCAAAAGATTAGACATCGCACATAGAAGGCTACTTGATAAACTACTTGATAAAGACGATATATTGCTGATAAAAGAATAGAATCTGCTAAGTAACACTAAACAGTGTTAAGAAAAACAAGAAATTATCAATAGAAAACTGTAATTCTGCTTGCAGATGACTGCATTTACCTGGCAGAAAAGATGCTGTTAATGATTACATTACATTACATAGACTACATATCGGGTAGGCAGACCAACTAATCGGCAGTGCCCAGTAAAGACACCCATTAGAACTTTTATGCTGCTACGAGCAAGTCCTAAAATATTCCCGGGTTTGACAGTGGCAATGTTAATAAACACATTAGTATGTCTCATTCCAGGAGAACTGGTCCAAAGTAGGCAAAGTTTTATTCAGCCCACAGTTCAATCCTATATTCGACCATCGCAAATGATACACCAACTGCTGGCTCCGGCCCCAAAAACGTTTTAGCGCTACCCTCTCGTGATACCTCATCTGCCACTTCATTGCCAGCAACCCCACAGTGATCTGGGACCCAGATCAGAGAAACTCTGTTATCACAACTCAGTGTGTTTAATGTTCTCTTACAATCATTAACCAGAGCCGACACCGTTTTCACGACTTGCAGCGCTTTGAGAGCGACTTGACTGTCTCAGAAAATTCGTACTGTCATGTTCTTCATTCCTGTCTCAAGAAGGATTTTAGCACCCATGTCAATAGCAAATACTTCCGCCTGGAATACAGTACGTACCCAGGCTGTAAGCTTGCTTAATTCGAGGTGTCTGGCAGTATACTCCTGCTCCGATCCCTTCAGGCGTTTCTGATCCATCTGTGAACAAGCAAATATCTGCCTGAACCAGAGAATTTTCATTTTCGATCCAGGACTGCCAGTATCAAGCATTAATCACTGATAGTGATTCCGCCAAATCTAACGGCATTGATAGCACAGTATCAGTGCTTATAATGTCTTCCGCAGCCCATTGGTAGGATATGTCAGAACAGTTTTGAGCATATTGCTTAAATCTGTAAATGGTTGTTCTAGCCACTTTCTCTAATTGCAAATGCAGAGAAAATAGGCCAAGCAGAACCTCCATTGCTAGAGTTGGCGTTGTGCTTATCGCACCAGAGATTGCTAATCCAGCTACTTGTTGAATTCGTGAAACTTTACTGATAACTGAAATTTGTTGAGCTTTCCTATACCAGGCTGTTGCTGCATATATGATCATAGGTCTAACCACAGTCACATAGAATCAGTACAGTCTTTCAGGGGTAGTCAAAGACCGCGACAAGTCCACAAGGATAGTCTAGCTTTGTGCAAAACTCCCTGCAAATGTCAATTCCATGACAAGGTTTTATCTAGGACTACTCCTAGATATTTGACTTCCAAAGCAGGGGAGATAACACCCCTCCCTGCGGGCAGCCACCTCCTGGCCTGAAGCGTATATTATCACCTTGGAATGAAATAGAAACTATTCTACTATCAAGCATATCGCGGATCCAACCCGCTATAGTTGCTTTCACTCCCCTGTCAAGAGCAGCTCTTTCAAGATATTGTGGTATTGCGTTGTTGAACGCTCTTTCTATATCCAGAAACGCACAAACCTAGATTTCTTTATCCTGCAGCGTCCTGGACACTCTACCAACTAAGTTGTGTAGAGCCAATTCTGCTGATTTTCCCGCTTGATAAGCATACAGGTGGCAAACCAGTGGACCAGATATCAATGGCACCGATCCAGAACTTTTTCAAGGGTTTTTAACAGAAATGACGTTAGACTAATGGGTCGAAAGGCTTTAGGTATATAAGATACCCATACCTTAGTCCCTTCTGCCGGTACATATTTCCAGGCGACACTCGCTCTGAAAATTTTTACCAAAATAGGCAACAACAATGACCTTCCTTGCTGTAACAAAGCAGGAAAGATATTGTCTTCTCCGGGCGATTTGAACGGCTTAAACGTTTGAATCGCCTAGTTCACGGATGTGCACGTGACGACTTTTCTAGCTACACTCCAATCTTTATTTGAAGGGCGCTTTTCCTTTGCAGGAATAGCCCGCTGTGGTATTATCAGCCCTCATCATCAGGCTTCCTGGGAAGTAAAACTACCATCAGGCCCCTTAAGTGAGCCCAGGGGTAGTGCTGCATCTTGTGAATTCTTGCACTTCTGGGTGTGTCTTTCACTCCCTCACACAACCTCCTCCAAGACTCTATTTTTGCCTTACGTATGTTTTTGGTGTAATTTGTTAGAGTTACAATTAGTTACTATTTAGCAATAGTGCTGACTGAGCGTCTTAACTTCAGGTCGAACTTAGACTACATCACTAGGAAAGTCCAGATTAGGAATACCAGATCTAAGGACATGAGCAAGCAGACGAGATCTAATACCGTTTAGATTTCATTTGCCTTTGTTCAGGGATAAAATTTTGTTTATTGAATTCTTCTTGGTCTGGTCTTTTATGAATATTCTAAGAATATTTTGTCCTATAATGAATTTCTTCACGTTAGATAGTTGGGCGGATTAGTCCATCCAATTTTCATTTCCTTGTGAAGGGCACAACAATTGTATTTTGCGGGTTTATCGAGAGGTTCTCTCCCTTACACCAAGCGCAAATGGTATCCTGCTAATGATAGAACAATAAATACTGCTGGAAAAAAATTTCTTAGACAAGTAATGGAACCCTAAAATCCTTATAATATTTTCTGAAGTCTTGTAATAATCTCATGGAAATAGTGTAAAAATCCATATCAATCCAGTACCATATCCAAATATGTCTTAGAACGTCATGGACACCCCATAGGAATTCTCAATCATATTTCAAGATTCTCACAACAACCTAAGGTAAATGGAGAACTTAGGAATTGCAGAAATGCTTTGAAATCTTTGAATCAAATTGGAAAATCTTGAATTCCGTAAAGATTGAAAGAAATTTTTTGGAAATAATAATAAATACGGAAGCATTTCAATTAAACCCTTAGACATCATGGATAATCTTTGAAAATATTCTGGAAATGCATGGAAGTCAAATATAAATTTGTTGAAAATACTTTGAAACACTCTAAAAATCAAAAACTTTCTTCCAGAATGTCTTAGACAACATTTGGAAACCTAAAATTTTTATAATATTTTATGAAGTCTTGTAGTAATCTCATGGAAGTAGTCTAAAAATCCATACCAATCCAGTACCATATCCAAATATGTCTTAGAACATCATGGACACCCCATAAGAATTCTCAATCATATTTGAAGAATCACACACGAACCTAAGGTGAATTGAGACCTTAGAAATCGCAGAAATTCTTTGAATCAAATTGGTAAACCTTGAATTCCTTGAAGATTGAAACAAAATGTTTGGAAATAATAATGATGTTCATCCTCGTTGTTTGAGGACTGCCATAACAATCTTTGTGAGGCAGCCGCTAGCAATGAGATTACGATCTGCTGGACAAAGAGTCATTCGGGAAATAAGCTTCATGACATGGTGGACAAACTGGCAAGGAAAGCTGTAGGCGAACTTCCGGGATCGCCGGAACCATTCATTGCCCCAACAATAAGGTCTTTAATAGAGCTTCAAAAAGAGGAAACACGTAAGAAATTTCTAAACTACTGAGACAGGACACTAGGATGTCGCCAAGCCAAGGAGGCTCTGATGTACCCTGATCCTAAACGAACAGATTTATTTATGAGGCTGTCCAGGTAGAACCTACGTTTGGTTATAAAGCTAATCACTGGACACTGGCATCTACAGAAGCACTTACTGAACATGGGAATAAGTGACACCGACATCTGCAGAGGATGCGGTGAGGAGGAACACATTTTATGCGAGTACGTGGCCCTCCAAACATTAAGGTTATCCATTTTTTGGAGATATCCAGATTAGCATGAGTGGAATAAGGGCAGCACAACCAAGACAAATTCTAGCCTTTGCCTCCAAGGTAATATGGCTGAAAGGACCCTAATGCTGATCAAATGAGGGAAGTAAGTACAAGGGATCTGCTGAGGTCAAAGTGCTGCGAGAAATCCAGTATATTGGTGGAAATGCATATTTCAAGAGACCTTAGGAATTGCAGAAATTCTTTGAAATCTTTGAATCATATTGAAAATCCTTGAATTCCTTGAAGATTGAACGAAAATTATGTATGAAATGTATGTATCAACTGTAAATTTGCTAGAAGTAGTCTGAAACGCCGTAAAAATCAAGTACTATCTTCCAGAAAACTTTAGGCAGCACCTAAAATCCTTCGAAAATTCATGGAAATTAATTAATCTCTTAGGTTTAGTGCAAATATCCATGACGATTGAGAGCCATCTTCAATAAATCCTAGAAAGACAGTATGAGAGTCCACCATTATACATGAAAACACTTCAATTCGTCAAGAAATCCCAAGAAATGTATGTATATCTAGAAATTGTTGGAAATACTTAGAAATTTCTTGCAAATCCAGATCCATTTTTCAGAAAGCCTTAAAAATTCCATGGGAGTCTTGGATCATATTTGAAAGTTCTTCAATTCCTCATCTAAACATCTTTAACTCACAGAAATTCTTTGAAACTTTTGAAATTAAATCCCAGATATTCGTAAATATTTTAATGAATCATCATTTTAATGAAATTTATAGCAAATCCTCTTTCTTCTGTTTATTTTCATAGTGTTCTCAATTCTTTAACTTAATTAAGCCATAAAGTACCTTTTTTTTATTCTTTCAATCATAAAACAAAGCAGTGTTAGCCCTTTCGGTACAAAACCCAATATGTCGCCGGATACCGGTTTTATCAAGCTTCCCCGTGGGGTTGAAGATTTACGTTCTCGATATCGCATATCGAAAAGGTCGAAGGACCATACATTATCCCGATAAGGTTCATAAAATGTTATGGCAATCGATACCGTTTCGTGAATCGGCTTAATTTGAATTTTCTTTTATAACAGAAAATTCTTTTCTCGTTAAATAAATTGAAATGTTTTATTTTCTCTTTTTATCTAGGTATTCAATTTCTTAGAGATTGTCCTAGAGGTCCGCAAATTCCTGTGTATATGGTCGTGGGTGGAAGTGTGGGTTGTGTGAAAATGGCTTGGATGCTTTGGGATCAATTGAGGGTAAGAAGAATAGATTCCGCGAATGGTGGCGGTACATCAATAGGGGCGAGGGTTGCAAGTTTCGCGTTAACTCTCTTTCTTATCGTTTGGTTTTCGCTGGGAAACTATTGGATATTATCGATTAAATGGCCCGATTACGCGCCGACATTATTCGAACCGAACAGATGGTGCGATCGAACTTTGTACGTCTTCGCATTGGTCCATTTATTCATTGTTTACGCAGCGTTTGCATGCACTTTTGTTTTAGTTATTTTTTTAGCATCTTGCCAATTATTTGGGTGCCCATGGTTAGGACCAACGCGATTTAAATAGCCGGAAGTTAATTATTTCGAAATGTGGGATGTTCCCAAAACTTATCATTAAGACGTTTCGTTTCAATTCAAATTTGGGGTGATGCTCAATTTATTTATTTCCATATCAATATTTATTGGGCAAAATATAAACGAAAATTTAACGAAATTTTAAACGGGATCAAAAATTAGTTTTCAATTAAAAAATAAATAAATAAATAAATGGGAAACAACAATAAACAATTTTCTACGTAACTAGGAAAATATTTAAGATTATAAATTTTCGTTGAGACGGTGTAGAGAAGATATTTATGAAGAAGTTACAAAATAAGTCAATTAGATTGAAGATTTTAGGCTATTTAGGATAAACGCGTAAAATTAGATGATACGAAATGATAAAGAAAAACTAGAAAACTGGTACTTATGAATGATTCTTATGTAACATTGTATAAATAAGGTTTTAGAAAAAAAATTGTATTCATATACATGCATATATCAACATTTATATTGCAAAATATATTTAAAGGATGTATTTATCGAAAACAAAAAGAAATAGCTAAAACGGATTTGATTAAAAAAAAAATACAGAGTGTCCCGTTAAGAGTACGGAATTGAACAGTAAGGAATAGAAGTATGGGAAAAAATCCTGATAGGAAAACTGGGCAAGAAAAATAGTTGGAGATTATTTTGAACTATCTCAGAAAATTAGATGATGAACAATAACTTTGGCAACATCATTTGATAGATAATACCCGCATCACTTTTGTTTTGTGATATTTCTCATATCTATGTACAGGGTGGATTTGCAGGGTATCTCAGTTATTATCAGCTTTCGCGAACCTGAGCTACTTTTCTGTAAAACTTACAATGGAGCAAACCAAATTTTCATAGCCCTCTTCGTTTTTGATAAACAGGAAGTGTTTCAAAATTTTCGATTTTCAGGCACCTCCTGTATCTCGGCTATCCGGAAACTTAGTAAAAAAGTAAAAACGGGTTCTAATAGATTTTTTCACGTAGAATCCAATGATGCACGTAGAATTTTTCTAGTCATCACGGTTTTTGAGTTATGAAGAGTTAAGTATTTTAGAAGTTGAGTATTCAGTATTTGAGTTGTGTTTATAACTCAAAATCCGTGATGACTAGAAAAATTCTACGTGCACCATTGAAGTCCACGTGAAAAAATCTATTAGAACCTGTTTTTACTTTTTTACTAAGTTTCCGGATAGCCGAGATACAGGAAGTGTCTGAAAATCGTAAATTTCAAACACTCCCTGCATATTAAAACGAAGAGGGCTATGAAAATTTGGCATAATTTGGAATCATTTAGCATAAAGTCTTATTGGTGGCATATCTAAGCCTTTCCTCTTTCTTATCTTCGGGGAGGAGCTCAAAGTGATATCGAGGTTCTGACAAATATTGCTAATTAAAGATACACAGACTGGGTACTGATAACAAAAAGCTAGATACTGTTGGTAGAGTGTTAGATGCCACTAATGGATAATTAGGTTCTGGTGGAAAAAGATTACATACTACTGGTACAAGGCTAAGTACTGCTGTCAGAGGATTAGATGCTGTTAAGAGAAAATTAGGTGTTGCTAATACAAGAATAGATATTGCTAATTCAAGAGTAGATAGCACATATAAAAGACTGCATCTGCTGGCAAAAAACTACATACTGCCTACAGAAGATTAGACATCGCACATAGAAAGCTATATACTACTTGATAAAGACGAGATGTTGCTGATAAAGGAATAGAATCTGTTAAGAAAAAATAATCAGTGTTAAGGCAAAGAAGACATTGCCAATAGAACATTGTAATACTGCTTACAGAAGACTGCATTTACCTGGCAGAAAATGATTGACTGTTTTGAGAAGAATACGATACTAGTAATAGATACTAAATACTTCTGGGAGAAGACTAAATACTGCTGGTAAAAGAGTACATTGAAAATCGTTGAAGATTTCTAGAAAATTTTTGGAAATAACACGAGATCCTTGAAAATACACATGTATCTTAAGTAAAGTTTAAATGTCCTCCACAATCTTACAGTACCGCTCAAAAATGTATGATAATTTAGTTTTTCCCACATAACTTTTGTAATACTGAATGAATCTTCACACAATTTTAAGAATTATATTATATTGAAGAGGACACTATATGCCCAAGCATAGATATTATTTTTAAGGCCGAGGTTACACGTAGCAGTCGACTGCGATGGCAGTAACTACTGCGTGGTTTGACTATTCGCGTCAAAATTTACGTGTAATATGTCTATTGCCATAGTTATGGACCAAAGCTACCAACTGTCATCGCTACAAAATTTTCTACTTTCGGTGTAGCAGTAGTATTATACGTAAATTTGACGGTTTACACGCCAATTTGACGCTAACAGTCAAACCGCGCCCCTCCGTTGTTATCGCCATAGCAGTCGACTGCGACGTGTATTTGTCGGAATCGACGCAGAAAGCCATCATACAGGGTGCTCGACAAGGGCGCACACAGACGCAGCTCGCTACGCAGTTTTCGTTTGCACAGTCAACAATTTCGTCGATGCAGAAGTCGTAGATACTCGGGGGATTCGTGTCACCCGAGTGGAGTACCACGATCCGGTTGGAGAATAACAACGTCGCGAGGCTGTGCAGGTCGAACCCACGGCTCACGGCGGTAGATATTGGAAGAAAATTGTGGAGTGCTGAGCAGCGCCAACCGTCTACATCGATCATCAAGAGGAAGCTGAAGGATGCGCTCGTTTCAGCTAAGAACAGGAAGGCACGTGTCGAGTGGGCGAAAGCACACCTCAACTGGACCCGGCAGCAGTGGGAGAAGGTCCTGTGGAGCGACGAAAGCAAGTTCCTCCTATTCGGATCTGATGACATATCGTGAATACGCCGTCCTATGGGAACTCGCTTCGATCCCAAGTACCTGCGTCCCGTCATGAAGCACGGCGGTTGGTTCCGTCAAGGTGTGGGGGTGGTTCAGCGCTGCTGGCACCGGCCCCTTCGTCCGCATTACGGGTACCATGGATCGCCACAAGTACAGGGATATTCTGGAGAATCTCATGCTTCCCTGGGCACACAAAAACATAGGTCGAGGTTGCCTGTTCCAGCAAGATAATGATAGGGACGTGGCGGTAATGAACTGGTGCAGCCAAAGCCCGGATCTCAACATCATCAAACCGCTGTGAGACACTCAGGGACGCAAGTTGACGGGCATTCAGGCCACTATCGATGCGTTGATTGATTCCATGCCCCGTAGGTGGCAGGCTGTGATCAACAGCAAGGGTTACCCAACCAAGTACTAGGTTGCTATACTTGGCTGACTTTAATAAAAATATTTTTTTAATAACTCAAAGTTGAAATGGATTCTTCTACAAAAGTCATCAAAAACTATGGTGAAAAAATTGTCAAGTTTCAAAAAAGTTATGTGGGAAAAACTAAATTATCATATACTTTTGAGCTGTACTGTAGGTAATCCTTAAACATCCTCATGACTCGTATGGAAATTAAATAAAATTCTTCCAAATATTTTTTGAAGTACTCGGAAACTCCACCATTAATCTCTCAGCAACCCTTTTAAAATCACCTAAAAGAGGAAACCTAAAATCTTTTTAATGTTTTCTGAAATCTTATAGTAATCTCATGGAAATAGTACCATCTCCAAATATATCCCAGAACGTCATGGACACCCCATAGGAATTCTGAATCATATTTAAAGATTCACACAACAACCTAAGATGAATTGAGACTTTAGGAATCGCAGAAATTCTTTGAAACCTTTGAATCAAATTGGAAATCCTTGAAGATTTCCACAAAATTTTTGGCAATAACTCGAGGTTCTTGAAAATCCACATGGAGCTTAAGTAAAGCTTAGATATTCTCAGCAATATTAGGTAATCTTTAAAAATCCTTATGACATGTATGGAAATTAAGTGAAATGTTTCCAAAAATTCTTGGAAGTACAAGGTAACACCACTATTAATCCCTCAGATCCTTAGTCGAATTAAAGAACAAAATGTTAAAAATTCGTACATATTAATCGGATCAAGTTACCTTACCAAACAAATAAGAGAGCACAAAAATGTTATTACTTAGAGCCTTCTTTTACACTTTATCCAAGCTTAGAACTGGTTCAAAACTAACTGGTTCAAAACTTTTGATGCGTGTTTAAAGGCCAACGAACAAACATCGACAATGACAATAAAACAAAATAAACCAAAACTCTTAGAATTATTTTAATTTTGTCAAAAATAGCTCACAAATATTTGAAATGCCTTCCATCAATCTCGATGCATTTATTTAATCTAGTTTTGACAAAAAAAACTGCTGCTTAAGTCAGCCCTGGACACGTTTTTAATGGCATTTAGTGTTTTTGTCATATTTTCCCTGGTTGTTGGTTTTTCTTGAAAAATCAGGTCTTTCAAGTTTTGTTCCAACTAATAATGCATATTATGCAAGTTATTGCTGCATTATTGAAAGATGCTTCATGCGTCCATTGAGTTTGTGGTAAAAAGTTTGGATTTGCTTGAATCATATTTAGCAGCCAATGATAATACAAAGTTCAGTCTGTTATCATAATCGGTATCTGTTATGGCTTGATGTAAAACAATGTGGTGGAGATGAATATTATTCTCTTGAGGAATCTTATAGACAATTGTTTTCGGGATTCCCAGATTATGTGGGATCACATTTCTAGATCCAATCTTACAAACACTTCTGGAGAGAAATATCTTTCTTTGTGGTAATTACATTGCGTATTCCAGCCATGCAATTGCATCATATTCGAAGCAATGAAAATAAATCCCTAACATATCATAGAAAATGACATGTTTACAGTTACCATGGTTATGTGATTTGTTTTTCTCGATGAGGTAACTGGATTCGATTGATGGCACAACATTTTCTTCTATAACTCAAGAATAGATGGAGATATCGAGATGTGGTTTTCACTAATATTATGACAGATATGAGAAATGTTGTAAAAAAAAGTGATGCTGTCAAAGTTATAGCTCATCATCTAACTTTCTGAGATAGCTGGAATTTTATGTTTCTCTATGGCAGGCTTATAAGCTCTTTGCCTATAAGGATTTTTTCCCAAACCTCTAGGCCTTACTGTTGTCGAGATCCGTACC